AAAAATTATATACAGATAACTAGAAGATGCCTGTATATCTCTTTTTACTTTACTTTCCTCTTTTAATTAAATCTATATCTTCATCTGAAAGTATAAAAATTTTGGAATCTCCATATGCCCTATCTAATGATCATGTGTTTGTATGTTCTCAACAACATGATATATAAGGTATTCTTCTAAACACTCATCCAGTTACTAAATTTGCCAGCACTATCTATTTTACATGTGTTGTTTGTTATCATACAAATTTTTCCAATATAGAAGTGATAAATATTGCCGATCTTTTGGAGGAGGTATGCTGAATTCCCCACTTTTTGTCAAAAATTATGGCCAAAAGTATTGAAGGAAGAAAAATACTATATTTGCAATAGCTCAAGACAATGAAGGTGTTTCTAGTTGTTCATCATAGAACAAAAAAGCTTTAGATACTTGAGTCAGAAGTTTTTCACCACTACTGTTACCAAAATAACTTTTTTGGCTTAAATGTGAATATGCGAGAGAGTCTATCAAAAAGAAAAGCTTGACCTAAAACACAAACCAACTATATATGTGCTACTTCTCGATGTTTCACATATAAGTCTTTATCAACAACAGTATCAATAAAGAATCTCAGGTATCTTTGGACTTTTTAGAGCCTTGAATCTTCAAACTGTTTTGGTGCGGTCTTGGTTCAAGTGATCATCAGAAAGAGTTTACTGCCTATATATTATAAAATTTAACTTTGTATAATATTTATTTATATAGTAACTTCTAACTTATATATAATTTATATTATAATATCTGCTCTTGCTAAGTTCTTTGCTATAAGATTTTTATTTATTCTAATTTACTATTAGATTTTAATATTTGATATAAAATACAAAAATCTATACTAATATTCTTGATAATACAGTCTGGAATATTTCCATATTTGGTAAATCGTATATAGATTATTCCAAAATGAAATTCATTACACAACACATGATCTAGAAATTTGATCGTCCAATTTCTTATTAAATTTTTGAACGTTTTCACGAGTTTCACATGATAAGTTTATACAATCTGTCTTTGTAACATAACGAACCCTAATGAAACTAAGAAGTTTCAAGCAAGTAGTTTCATAATCAGTCGAAACATTTCCATAATCAGCTCATTTTTAAAGTTTATGAGCATGACAAGACACAGGTTTTCTTGGGTTATTAAAAAGTATAAAGCGTATTAAAACTTTTCTTTTTTTTCTTTTAACTGTTAGAAATTCGTTGAAAAGCAAACAAGCACCCCTGATCTTTACTGTGTTAACGCCGGCCTCCTACTTTCTTAGTATTATAACTATTCTGATATTATATAACCATATTAGTATTACTATTATTATATAGTTCCTTGCTAACTTAGAAATACTGTTGAAATTCAGATTCTTTTTTATTATCGCTATAAGTGTGTAATAAATTTATTTAGATATTTTACATTACAGCATTATCAAGAATCACTATTACTAAACTTCATATGATTTATTTTTCTCTTTTATTAGTGGAAGCCAGCCAAGCTAACCAAGGAAACCAATGACCAAAAGCAAAGGATTTACCTTGCATCTTTGCTACTTTAGTTCCTTTATATAAAAATTTGGGTTTATTGAAATGTGAAACTAAAGCTTTACAAACAATTCGACATGCTGATAGTAATAAACCAAAAACTCATCTTCAATTATAGAATAATTTTTTTCCTGAATTAATGCAAATTCAAACACATTTACATGATTTTTCTTTATGCGAAAAGCATTATAACCAACTTATTGTATCTGATTTTTTGTGCCAATTGCTTTTAGATTCAAATATTTCTAAAAATAAGCGTAATAGCCAAAAGCAGCAAGTAAATAATGATTTTGACAATGAAATTGTTGAAAAGCAAGCTCGCACGCAGTATACTCATAAAACAGATGTTCAAACTAATAAACAGACTAATGAAGTCGGTGTGCAAGTTAATTAGAAAACCCATGAGGTCGGTATACAAGTATCTGATATTATGTTGCATTCTTTTGAAAACCTTGTTGATTTTCTTCAATCACAGCTAGATTCAAAAGTAAGTGAGGTGGAAGATCTTAAAAAGCGATTAGATTATGCATATGACTATATAATTGAAAGTTGAGAACATGTCAAGAAATAAGTAAAGTAAATAAAGAACTAACTAAACTAAATAATGCATTGAAATATAAATGGGAAACCCGTTTTAGCAGTCAAAAAAAAAGAATTGATTCTGTAATTCAAATTGCAAACCAGAATGCCAAAATGTTTATAATAATATTGAATCATTAATTTTAAATAAAGAATGGTTTTCACTTAATAATTTATTAGATTTTATGCCTAATAACTGGTTAGCTAATCATAATTTAGTTATCGTTAATTTTATTAATACTCTCACCCATAATGACAATAACAATCATAGTGATCATACTTCAAATGAAAAAA